TAAAGAAGTATGTGAGATGATCGGGTGAGTGGCTTACTCATCTTCAAGTCCTTCTTACCACAAAGGCGTAGTCCTGCGATCGCCAACGATATGTATCACAGTCCAGAGGCACAGACAAGCAGAAAATAGGCGCGCAAACGTACGGCGAGAACGAAAAAAATGTTAGCAGTTAGTAATAGACACCATTTCAAGTCGTCTATAAGAACATTTGCAATGAACTTGAAGAAATCAGCTCCGTTATCACAAAGTGTTGCCACCTGGCGCGAAATGGGTACAGCACCAAAAATAAATGTCATTTTCGTAATCAGGGCATTGAATTACTTCAATGAGCAATGTTCCGACGAAAAAAAATAGAACTTTGCGATTTGGCAGGACTACTTTGTTCACAAGGACTACACTGGCAGCACTAATCTGCTGTCGGTAAGCCGCAGGATTTCATACCAGCCATCTTCAGCAAGAGCGCTAGTGACAGCCATGGAAGTAGAGCAGAGTTCGTTAGATGGTCCATCAAACCGTACCGATCATATGCTCCACAGACTCATCGAAAATTCCTCGAGATTGTGCAAGATTCCGTCCCCGCCCACGTTATTCGGAATTCTTGCAAGGGTCTCATCAATAAGAGGGGGCATTGTGGTTTTGGGTTTTACCGACGCGTTTGTAACCATGGAAAGTATGTTTTTTATTGTAAAGGTTCAGAAATAAGTCTTAGAAGGGAGGGAAATCCCAGGTTCGTAAGCAATCTTCGTTCTTACTTGAGAGCCGCTTTTCCCTTAGACTTATCGTTAGTCATTGCTGGCTCCATTGAGAAGAATACTACTATTTAAAGACATTTTACGTCGTCCAGCTCAAGATTGCGTACATCATACAAAGAAATCTAAAGAGTCAAATCGGAATAAATCTGATAGGAGCTCGCAACTTCAAAGGAAGTGAACCAAAATGGCCTCAGAGCAAACGAAACCCCGCGATGCCCCTCCATACTGGAACGAGATCCGAATCGATTATGAAAACGTAGTGTGATATGAACAGGAAACAGAAACTGAGTTTTACCCCCTAACTTTTCGTTTCACTAATTTTACGACAGCCAAAAAAAACCAAGACCATAATTCTTAACTCACTCATCACCGTACTGCAATATTTGTTTGAATATAAAGCAAATAATTGCTGACAATTTAAAAGATAAAAAAAAGATGGGCGCGGGTAACAGGGCAAGCCGTCTGCCTGTGATGCCGATCACCGGAAAGTACAATGGTAATGTGGTTGCTCATAAACAAACCGGGAAACAGGCGCACTGTGGACGTGCAAGTGGCGACAATGCGACCACGGTGCGATTTCCGCTTTGGCCGCGTCCGCATCATCTCCATCACCGCGTACACTCCGTGAGACCCGTGGTGAAGCCTTGGCATCGTAAAAAAGTCTCCAAAGATGAGCATTTAACACCAACAGTCATTGTCTTTCCTTGAATGAGAGGGAAATACGAAGAAATAACCAGTGTTTCAAAAAATCCAGGAGCGCGTCGAGTGACCCCTCACCAAGGGGCGGTAATTTTTTTTTTTTTTATTTTTTTTTTTTTTTTTTTATTGCGGTATTCAATCCTTCCCCCAGGGGATATATCCCCCTCCTCTGATTCAATCCTCTGGGGGACAAAAAAGGGTTGCGTCATAGGACCTAGCATACCTCTGTGTTTCTACCTGCCAGACAGTTAGAGCAGCGCGACCCCTCAGGGAAAAGAGTGCTTCATCAGTGGAGGGTAGTAGCGCTGCTCTAACTGTCTGGCAGGTAGAAACACAGAGGTATGCTAGGTCCTATGACGCAACCCTTTTTTGTCCCCCCAGAGGAGGATTGAATCAGAGGAGGGGGATATATCCCCCTGGGGGAAGGATTGAATACCGCCCCAGAGTGACGACGTCTTCACGAAATGTCACACCCGTCGTCACTTGTGGTGTGTGGTCTGCACTCGACACGCATCTGTTTTCGGGAAGCAAGTTGTATCACCATGCAGTCGTGCTAACGCTTGTGTGTTCAATACTCAAAAAGCGAAGAAACGCTCGGTGACCCTCTGGTGACAAAAGGACTAACAATAAGCCCAAACGCCAAGGAGAGCAAAATTGCTTACATTCTCCCTGTAATCCGTCCCTTCGCAAAGGTTGAGTGTGGTTCTCTATGACACAAAGCCACTTGTCGCGGTTTGGCAGCGCGAAAGATTTCCTGAGGAACCTTAGATCCAACCGCTGATCATGATGGCCCGGTTCCCCACAAAAAATGTTCGCGCTGCAACAGCGCGAAAAGTCGCTCCTGTTCTAGTGAAGCCACCCAATATTTTGAAGAGGCTGCTAAAATTTTGACGTTGCTAGGGCTCTTTTTGGAGTGCGCTGCAAACATTCTGTTTTTTATGGTGGCACCGGGTTAGTTTCTGAACATGTTTCCTACACAACAAAATGCTGAGAACAGCAGCCGATCTCATTCTGTCAGAGTTTAGCAGGGTTCTAACTTTTGGGGGGGGGAGGGCACGCAGCGGCGCGGCGCTCTGTTCGTCTGCTCCTCTAAGGCTTAGTCCAAGAGGCAGTTACTATTTCGTCACTACGAGGCAGTTTCGAAATACGGCCATCGGCGGATTAAGGGTTGGGGAGGGCAAGACGAAACAGGGGGGGGGTCCCCCCCCCCAACTAAGTTAGCACCTTTAGCAGCAAAGAACGACTCCGAAAGGATTAGTACTCGGGCAAACTTCCAGCTTATTTCCTGATGAAGCGCGTGCTGGCGGGGAGGACATGTCACCGCAGGTTCACATGGCAACATGGCTTATCAAACCCGGCTTGTTAGTTGCTTCTGTGCGGCGATGTGAACATCCAGAAGCGACCATTTCTCTGGCATTTTATGCGATCTTCTGTCACAATTGTTGGATTTCGTTAACTGTGGCAAGGTGAGAATATTTTAATGTGATAAGGATGCGCTGAACTCTTGCTCCGTTTGTTCTCATGCTCATTGTTAGCAGATTCATTACCCATTCGAGAATGTGGTTCCGAGGGAAGGGGTGCATCCTGTGGCATTACGTCAGATCACGGAAACGCTCAGTTTCAGGAATATCCTAGAGAAGAAGACAAACTCCGAGGTGTGCAAGCAATTCTCATTCCCTCCGGAATTCGTCCTTTCTGTCAGGCTTTGCTCCTAGGTCCACCTGTAATCATCAGTGGACCCGAGGTTCCCGCAGCGAACAATTTGTGGACTCAAGTTTCCCGCAGCGAAAAATGTTTCGCGCTGCGAAATGCGAGAAAAGTCGCGTTCGTACCTAGTGAACCACACCGGCAATTCCACATGAAAGCCAGCGTGATCGTTTCCTTTAACGCCTCCTAACCAGAAACCATTGTGCATCCATTTTTTCACAAGCCGCTTCTATGGCTAACGTCAACCTTTACAGTTAGATCAAGTAGTGCTTTGCACGCCAGAGATTGGCCGAATTTTGTTGGAAATTTTGCTTAAGAGGAACCAATACGAGTAGGAGACTCCGTTGTCGATGGAATGCGCCACGAAGTCCGATGCTCTAGAGAAGTGCGACGCTTCCATCTCCTATGCGTCCTCACTTCGTCCCAATGCATAAAAAGGTACATATAATTGTAGCTAAGGGTGCGCTCGAATGTCGGTGAAGGTCACCGAAACTCACGTAAGTTTTCATAACACCCCTCTCTAATACGAGTGGTGCTTATGTATACAAGGACACGGTTCGCTTGGGCAGAAAGCGACTTTTCCATTTTTCGCAGGTCGAAGCTTTTTTCGCTGCAGGAACCCCAAAAACTTCGCGCCTGTGAAAAGCGAAAAGCCATTTTTTGCCTTTCTTATTTTTCAGCGCGCGAAAACCGTCACGTTCCAACCATCCAGGGGGCCGTATGCTGAATGTTGGGGAGGGGACGGGGATGGGGAAATGTTGGGGAGGTTCGTCGCAGGACCCACTGGGCAACGGTCGCACCTTTGATTTTGCAGCTTTGTTTCCATCCTTTTACTGTTTCTGATTGTATATTCGCACGTAAATACCTTTCTTTACACCAAAAGCAGCGATGAAAGAATGGAAACAAAGCTGCGAAAATCAAAGGTGCCGTGGCCGCGACGAACTTTCCCCAACATCTTCCCAAAATTTCTCCATCCCCATCCCTTCGTATTACGGGCTACTTGGTTTTTATTCATTGGTCCTTTTATTCGATGGCTAGAGCACAGACGATTAGAGAGAACGGGTGAATGCCCTTCAGGCTGCAGGATTTCCCCCTAACACGATAACTGCAGTACTCAGCCTGGAGAGGAATAAGAACCGCGGGCGGTTTGAAGGACTGAGTTCAAGTAGTCCGTTGCCCGTGCCATTCCCAACATTCAGCTTACGGCCCAGGGTGAGCTAGAACTTGGTTGACTGCGCGCTCCAAGGACAAAGTCCACGACGCGACCGCGCACGAACAGAGTAAGTCGGGTCCCCGTCCAGTGTTCTATGTATAACTGTGTTACTGCACCAACAGCCCCGCAATAGTGTTGTAATACGACTTCGTGACACAACCGTGAAGTCTGTTGCAACAATTGTTTTCGAAGAACCATTTAGCTTTTTCCCCACTTCTTACCTCTTTTACTGGTTCTGTGACTCGTTTATTGCTGGTCTTTCGTAGTCTCGATGAGAGATCCTGCAATAGAGCATAGTGTTTCGTGGGAAATCGGCCCACAAAGACATCTATATTTGTATGCCGTTAACCTTTATGAGCCCCTCGCGGATAAGCTCTCTTTGTTCAGAAAATGCTGTTACAGCTCTGTGGCTAATCTTTGTTGGTAGCAATTCGAGCAGGTGTTTTTTTTTCTGTATGTGTAGTACTGTTGCCTAAACCTACACCCTGAAAAAATGCAGACTGAGCTTTTGCGGAGTTATTGAAACTAACCAGGAGTAATTTATATTTTTTCGTATGACCTTGTCTCTAGAAATCCTACAAAGTCTCATTCACACTCAGAGTTTGTAGCAATAGCTAAAGTATTTCAGGATGAATGCGGACGAATCTAATGAATTCAAGAAGGTTCGTGCGTTTGCCTCTTTACCCCGTACCGTCCGAGGCTTTCCTACGGTGATAGGCTCTAGCCCGAAAGGTGATAAAATCATATACTGCAATGGCAACTCGGTCTTCATCGTCGATGTTGAGGTAAGACGTTCTTTTAGGTTTAGTTAACCATGTTTCATCATTTTCACTATTCGAATTTTCGGCTGCCAACTTTTTCTTGTAGAACCCTACCAATGTAGACATCTACACTGAACATCCAGTGCCGCCAGCAGTAGGCCAAGATGAGTGCCTAGCGGTACGTTTAACATTTCGAGTACTATTCATTTTCCGTTCGTTCGCAATTAACGTACAGAGATATTCTCCTGCATTGGCCTGCCTTGACAACGGTTTATGTGTATTTCTTTTGGTACGAAAATCTATAAGATCGGCAAGAGAAGGTTGTGGATTTGGGAAGCAATCCATTTCCCGAAGCTATGCAGACACAGGTGCAAGGTAACAGTGTATCCTGCCTCTTGGTAGGATTCTATGCACAGGTAGTCGGAACGAGGTCCCCAAACCCTTTGCTCTCCAGCGGAGAAATAGGACATCTTATGCGCTGTTTCTATAGAGTTGGTTTTTGTCATATTGTTGTTTGTCTTCTTTGCATGCTTTTCTTTTAATTCCATATTGTACCATTCGCCGAAAAAGGCGAGTGTTGGAGTACCGCCTCGTAATTGCTCCGGTGTTTCGAGACGTTTGGAAAGACTCGATAGCTGCTGTGTGACTCATTGTTCTAGCGCGTCATCGCTGCCCCCTTTCATAGCAAAAATGGCACAGCATCTCATCTCATGTCTCTCAGCATGCGGTGACGCAGAGTTTCTTGCGCATGCGTCAGCGCTCGCGTAGAAATTTGACATTAATGGGTAACTTGGATTGTTTCTTCGTTATATATCTGAAATACAAGCGCTATCGCAAGATACAGGGGCATTCTCTAGGATTGAGCCAAAGAAACAGGCAAAGAAATCCTGGAAAAAAAATGAAAAACTGCTCTAAGCTTCTGGGTGTTGCTCAACTTGAATCGTTCCAGCTTCTACATTGCATCTGGAGATAGCGCTGGAAATGTGCGTATATGGGATACCACACAATCCACTCACATCTTAAAAGCAGCTTACCAGGTTTGGCAAATGCATACCATGTTATGGTTCAGTCCAGTTTCTTTAGTTGTCCTCTTATTAGGTGTTTTCTGGAAGTGTTCGCGACATAGCATGGAACGATGATAGTAAACGAATAGCCGCGGTCGGAGAAGGACGAGAAAGGTGTGATGTTCTGGTATACCTGCGTAGACAAATCTTGATAAGATTTGCTTTCGACCCTTTCTCTATATACCTGAGAGATTTAGATTCGGGCATGTATTTTTGTTCGACACTGGTACCTCGAATGGTAACCTTTCCGGGCAATCTCGACCCATGAGCAGCATCGACTTCCGTCCCACAGTAAGTTTTCCTGATGCTATTGGCAACGTAGGTCAATTTCCTTCACGCTCTTGTGGAGACTCGCGTGCCGGAATTTTGTCGTTTTTCTTGATTGAGATGCCTTATAAAAATGGGATTTTCTTGATCGAAAGCAGCTCTATACTGAAGGGACATCCATTTCTACTCTAGTTGTTCAGAGGCCTTACCGTCTTGTGAGTGGTTCGGAGGACAACACTGTTGCAATCTTTGAGGGACCACCGTTCAAATTCAAGACGGTACTTTTCGGTGTCCTATTTCAGATTTAAAAAAAGCTTTCCAAATATGCCTAACAGATTTCCTTTTTAGACGTTCCATGAACATTCACGATTTGTTCACGTCACTAGGTACAGTCCTGACGGATCTCTTTTTGCAAGTGCTGGTGCTGATGGAAAGGCGAGATATTTCACATTGTTATTATTATGTTGCACATTTGAACTGATGTAGAAAATGATTTTCAGGTAGTCTTGTTCGAAGGAACAGAAGGAACTAAAACTGGAGAACTTGTTGATGATTCTGTTAAAGTGAGGCAGTGAAAATTCAGTGAAGATGTTAGGCACTTTAAAAAATGTAATATATTGTAGGGCGGTGCGGCACACTCAGGAAGTGTTTTCGGTTTGGCTTGGTCACCTTGTGGCCAACGAATCGCAACAGCATCTGGAGACAAGACAGTGAAAATCTGGAACGTCCCGGAGAAAGCGCTTGAAAAGTGAGTTATCCTATCGATTATTCGTCTTTTGAGAGGAAACATGAGGTATCAGATCGTTCAAAAAGTCCCAACGGTTTTTGATATTAATTTTGAATGCCTCATTGCTGGCTGTATCATTTCTGAGGCATAACTACAAATTCACATATCATTTGGAAACGCGCTTCTAACTGATTTTATGGAGGACATTTTAGATTATCCTTTTTTAAGAGTTGTAACGTTTGGTGATTCTACTGAGGATCAACAAATCGGTATTTCATGGAGCACAAAGGCACTCGTCTCAGTCTCGCTTGCAGGATTCCTTAGCTTCATAGATCCTGCCGGCAACATAACTAAGGTGAGCTGAATATTTTTTTTGAAATCTCCGCTGTTGTCTACTCGAAAATTTCAACAACAAAGCATTTTATCTCAGGTTGTTCATGGTCATAACAAAGGAATAACGTCACTAGCCCTTACTTCTTGCAAGCAGTGGTTAATCACGGCTGATTTTGAGGGCCATATAAGTGAGTATTCTTTTTGCATTCGTGAATAGCCTTAACTTGCTTTTTTCCCGGCTTTGGCTCCTCAAACCAATCCAGTGTGAAACATCTTAGCTCTGCTGACTACAGGGTTACTTCTATAAAGCTATCAAATCACGCTAGTTCCTTCAAAGTATGTTGAGATTCTTGGAATTCGAGTTCGTTATGAACCGAATTACGCGGGTCGCGATTCGAATATTAGAAAAGAAAAACCCGTGAGTGAAGCGAAAGGGTCTCTAAGCATGGGAGCCGTGGCATCGTCACGACTCGAAGTTCGCGACAAAAAAACCGAGGATTTGCCTTGACCGCTGCAATCGTTGCTGTTGTCACTTCTCCGCAGAATACGTCGTGTCTGCGCACTCTCACACGACGTGCACTCTCTCATATTCCCTCTCATCGCCGCACTGTTTACCATCCTACCATGTAGACCTTATGAAAAGAACAGGCCTAGATTTTTCTGTGTTCCTTTTATTCTTTTTTTTCCTTTTTGGCAGTCTTCTACGCTCTCTATCTCATTCTTGAGCGGAATAACACATCACTTTGATCCAGACGCGTGCTTTCGAGTAAAGTTCCTCTTTCCAGAGAAACTTATTAGCTCTCGCCGTCAGTTTTTTTTTGCCAGGCGTTCCATTTGTTCTTGCAAAAAAGGAAGTTTAAGGTGGCAGGCAGCACAGGCTTGACCTTCAATGTTGACAAGGAACCCAAAATATTTTTCAGCACGTTGGAATGTCTCTAATGGGGAGTCGATTCGAATTCAACCAACACTTCATAGGTCACAGGTACTAGTCACCACGTTTGAGCCTAAAAGCCGGCATCACAATTTTGATTTAGATAGTTGGCTTGGTTGTTGGAAAGATGAACGTCTTGAATTAGCGTGGCGCGTGGACGACACCGTCCGCTTCACCAGTGAGCTACCAGTAGTGGTGAGGAGCTTGTCTTTCATAATTTTTAGTTGTGGTGTGATGTTTTGCTTGTCATAGATCCCGTGCATTCAAAGTGCGTAAAGTTGCCATCGCAGCCACAAGGTATGGCTTCTTCTTACGATGGTAACCTGACCGTCATCGCGTGCTACAAGAACGTTTTGGTGTTTGAGGTAAGCTATTTTGAGTGACACACATTCTCGGTTAATGACTGACACAATGACGTCCTCTGTGTGCCAGCTTATCTTCCCCACCGTCAGCATTTGCCCTAACTTTAGTGCGCTTTATTCATGTCATTTAGTTCGTGTGAAAGCGATCATTCAAACAAGTTGTTTTGTTAAGGATGACAAGTTATCAGCGGATCTTAACGTAACCTTCAACCCTTCTTGTGCAGCCATCTTTGGAGACCTTGTTGCTGTTGGTGGACAGGTATTTTTGCTAGGATTTTTCTTGATTTGGCTTGTTCCAAGAATTTTGTGCTTTTTTGTTCAATTGTTTTCACAAGTTATTCCTTAGACGCCTGTTCCCGCGTGATTGCTAAAATATAGAGTTTTTCAGGATTCGAAAGTGCATATCTTTTCATTTTCTGGAGGGGCTCTGCAAGAAAAAACACCCCTGCCGCACTCATCTCGCTAGTAACCCGTGTTGCATTTTCTCCGAATGGGAAATATTTAGTCGCTACTGACAGCGGCCGTAAGGTAAGGAAGTTGTCTTCTGTGATAAAAATGCATTCCTTGAATTCACAAGTTTTTCTTATCGGTTGTTCGTCCTCGTACGAGATTTATTAAAAAACGCGTCGCTAGCAAAGGGAGGGACTTCCATGCGACACTGCCCAAGTTTATTTGCGTGGCTATGGAAGCCGTCGACAATCGTCCACTTGAGCTTAGCGGGTGACCTGCCGACCACAACATCATTATTTGGATCTCGAATCGCAAGGTGGAGAGCATGCCTATTCATAATTCGTGGGTCGGTGTGGCTTCGTTTTGCAGAACACATCTGGGCTGGTCCATTTGTGCTATATAATTTCTCTGCAGTTTTTTACTGTTACTATATTGTCGCCATATTTTCAATGTAAACCGGCATGGAAGGAAATACCCCTGATTAGAGAAATTCAAATAATGAGAGACTGTCCAACACATCTGCTTCTGTCTCTGCTGGGCAATCATTGAAAGTAGGTGTACTCCTAACCATGACATTTTTTCTGCCCGCAATTGTCCAACCAAAGAACCAAAATCAAGCCAGCCTTATCGAGAACAGCTTTCCGACTTCTGTAGCAACATTTCCGCAGTGGGATTGAGATAGGCACTACTTCCGTGCATACACATTTTCATTCTTACGCATTCGCCCCTCCGCCTCGCCCCCACCCCCCTCGCGAAAAATTGGTCCCTAATATCGAAAGAGAAATCTTCTTTAGTGTGCCGGTGCTCCCGCACTTACTACCCATCTCTTGTGTCATTATCAATGACGCGCATCAAATCTCCTTATTTTGCACGGACTCCGTATGAGTGTGCGTGCGTCAGCATTGCGGCAACTAGCGCGCCGCATGAGCGACGACCCTCAAATATTGTGAAAGCTGGAAGATTTAACAGTTATTTTTATTTCTGTCAGTAGATTGAATTGAGCAAACCAGCCCTTTTGGCGTTTCTGCTGGGGCCGTATGCTGAATGTTGGGGAGGGGATGGGGTCCCCGACGGTCGACGGACTACTTCAACTCGGTCGGTACGGTAGGAGAGTAATGACGCAAGTGGTGCAGCTGGTCCAGCAGCTCCGCCAAAATGGCTGGTTTGCTCACCAGCACGTGAAGCCTCGGAGGAGGACGGCCCTGGCGGCTCTCTTCACTCCCAGGTCCGTCTTTTTAAGGCTTAGTCCTGAGGTAAGCATCAAATTGAGGCGGTTTCAAGGACCGAGTTGAAGTAGTCCGTCGACTTCGGAAACCCCATCCCCTCCCAACGTTCAGCATACGGCCCCAGCAGAAACGCTAAAAAGGGCTGGTTTGCTTACTTCCAAGGGGTAGTCAAACCAGCCCTTTTGGCGGAACTGCTGGATTAGCTGAACCACTTGCGTCATTACTCTCCTCCTGTTGTACAGACCGAGTTGAAGTAGCCCATCGACCGTCGGGACCGCAGCCCCTCCCCGACATTCAGCATACGGCCCCAGCAGAAACGCCAAAAGGCTTGGTTTTTGTTACCTCGTTAGATTGAGTTGTTCAAAGATCGACTCATGAAGTGTGGCAAAGAACAGTCCGCAGATAAAGCTTCCAGCATTCTGAGAAAGTAGTACACTAATTCTATGTAAAGTGAAATCACAATGCTTCTCAGATGAAAATTAAAGTTGCTGGGCATGCCAGTGGGTAAGCAATGATTGCTGTGGCACCTTCAGGTTTTGGTGATAAAATTTATCTGTTTACACACTTCTTTTCCGTTGCGAAAGTGCTTTTTTCAGGTGCACATGCAATGTCACCTGTGAACGGTCTCGTATTCTTGAATTCTGACGAGCTTTTGAGTGTTGGACAGGATGCAAACGTTAAACATTGGAAGATTAATCTACAGTAGTCGCTTTAATGGCTGGTGCTTTATGCTTTTTCACAGTGCCTTTTTGATATTTTGCTAACGTATCTTCGGTAAAGGACCTGCCCATATGTTGCAATAGTTTCTAAAGGATCTTCATTAATATAATCTTCTATAATGCTATTCTATCGTACATGTATATCATATGAATTTTTGCTTCAAGAATAAAAGTTCTCATTAACATCTTTAGTGATGGATGCGTTTTGCTAAAATCATTTCATTCTAGTAAAAATATTTGGTTTTTAAGGTATTGACTTTAGGTGTTGACCTTGTTTGGGATCCGCGAGGTTGGTGTAGGATTCGCTTCCGGTTCTCTTTTGTATGTGTTTCCAATGATTTCCGAAGAATTTGGAATTTCGCTGTTCACATTGTTCCATACCATATATTCCATTCTCTTTCTGTATCGTTCACTCAATCCCATCCCCTCCCACTCCTTGCCCTCAGCCCTACTCGGCAGCCTTTTGAGGAAAGTGGAGTGAGAGCGTGGGAAGATGGAAGGCCTCCTGAAGACTTTTTCGTCACTTTTGCTTCACTTCGAGGCAGAGTAATCCCCTAGTTAGGGATAGGGACTTCACTATTAAGGTGTGACCAAGGGAGAGACACTAGGCAGAAATTCGCATGTATCGCATGCTTCGAAGGGAACTTGGTAAAACAAAATATCAACTTTTAAAGTAAAATACCGAATACATGTGAGTAATAACAATGTTAGAAGTGGACGCTGGATTAACCTTGAAAATGTCTAAATGATTCAGCCTGATTGAACAAGGGGAACTTAAACTATGGCATGGAGCAGCCAATTC